CCATCAACAATTAAAAATCCCCCCATAAATAGTTAAATAAATAATCCATTAAAAATCAAATCTAAACAAACCAACCCTAGAAGACTCTTGGTGATGGATCTAGACAACCAATTTTCCTATATTACTTTGAAAGCAAAACATTTTTATGTGAATTACGTAAATGTGTCCCATTTTATAGAATCTTGGGATAATTGTGAAATGCATAAACATGTAGTTTGCTAAAATACATACCCAGTGATCAATGAATTCTTCTCCAGTTCATCTTCATCATGACAACAGCAGCAAAACATTTGGCCCAAGAAATCCATCTGACTTGCAAACACTGCAGATTATCAGATATGCCTACAACTAGCATATCAGAGTGTATAATTGGGAAAGCAGAAACTATGTTTGAAAAGGCGAAGAAATCTATATTTCTCTTTAAATACTGTCTGACAGTCATAAGCAGAGATCATGTGAAACATTTCCTCCATAGCTTAAGGCGTTTGAACAAAATGTACAAAATTCAACATATTATATTGTGGTCTTGGCATTTATATGGGATGAAGAGTAAGTTCATTTTTGTTCTCTTCCTCAAGACCTATCACAACAGTATTAAATAATGAAGTGCCTCTAGGAAACAATATGTCCAGAGACACTTATCTAACCTGGTATCATTTGGCGTCCCTGACTTGACTTTGTTGTTTATTCTTTTAATGCTGAAAAATGGAAGAGCTGTCCTGAACCTCACTTAAACCCCATGGACAGAACTAGATAATAAAAATAGTGGGAGGCTGCAACCCCATGCTTGTCAGGAAGTGTACCTCATCACCCAAAATAAGCTAGGAAGGTAAACAGTGACCAATTACCACATTAATTTGACTTCTAGTACATGGGTTTTTTAATGGTCATTCCACAAGATGGCAGCAAGTTTCTGAGAGTGCTTTTGACATACTCTCAGAATTCCCGACGTCCCCAAAGAGTCCCTCTAGATCATGGAATTAGAGGCTAGTTGTGAGATACCTCATAACTTCGTGAAGGGAAAGGATCCAGAATATTTTAAACCCAAGGCAACAGATCCATGGATGGGATGCACTTCACAACCATTGTGTGTGGTTGGTATGAGGCTGTGATGCTGGCCTGCCAACATATTAGTGAACTTCACTACTGAGGTCAAACACTGAGTTTGATATCATGTTGGATCTCAGTGGAGGTTCTTATTCCAAGTAAGAACGCCTAAGCTAGGGAATCTTCTGCCTTGACAGCTTTTCAAAAGGCTTGAAAAGGGAAAATGTTTTAGATGTAGCAGACTTTTCCCAGTCTGGCACCTTCCAGATGTGACCTTCCAGTCCTGGCCACTTTATATTGGCCTATAGACACCACGACATCTGGAGGTCAGGCTGCAATAAAAGATACCTAGCTTCAAAAACAAGGTGAGGATTCTATGGTACATAGGAATGATTTTTTATTTTTGCGATCACACTCCTTCACCTAAAATTTTGCATCCCTAAAACCTTGCATAGTAGAGGATAGTGAGCCATATGCTTTTTTCAAGAGATCTTTGATTATATTTTTGCGGCATGACCATAAAGATTTATAATAAAGCAGATGGAAGAGAAGCTGACAGGATGTTTTCCCCCTTCTCAATAGAGACTCAGTTACAGTTATTGGTTTGGGATGGTAATTTTTTTTCCTAGGCCAGTGTCTCTCAACCTTGACAACTTTAAGATGTGTGGACTTCAACTCCCAGATTTCTGGGAGTTGAAGTCCACACATCTTAAAGTTGCCGAAGTTGGAAACACCAGTGTAGGCTGTAGCTTATAGTTCATATACAAAGCAGCAGTAAACAACTTTGGATCTTACAATGGAGTTACTGTTAGTTAACTAGTTAATTAGTTCTAGAACTAGTTAATTAGTTCTTCCTTAGAATCCTGCATCCTTATAGCTCAGAAAGTAGGAATTTAGGAGTTAAAGGAATGTCTTCAGTCTTAACATGAGATTAATGCAACTGAAATTTCTATTTTACATGTAGTAAACACTTCAGAGCACATTTAATAACTGTGGCTACAGAGCTCTATTTGAAGGGGGCTAATTTGGGAGTCAGAACACTTATCTGCTCTAGGATTGCTCTTAATTATTTTCATTTCTATCTGAAATTAGTCTTGTTAGGAGTCTACTAGGATGTTTGTTAAAAGAAACATATGTTCTTGTAGGCTACAGTCCCAATGTATTGAAATCTATTCTCATTTCAAGCATTATGGCTACCTTGAGTATTCAGTGCAGCTAGAGCATTACAGATTAGCAGAACCCACTCCTCTCCAACAGTGGATACATGATATATGTTCTTAGCTAATTAAAATTGGCCCATGTTTTGGCAAAGGAAGCACACTTTCCACTTTCATCCATTTTTTTGTCTATATATGATTCTAGAATTTTACTTTTCTATTCCCCTTTTTAATGCTATACATATATTTGACACTGGGTTTTAAACTTTTAAAAACTTTTGTTCTTCTATATAATCTTTTAGGATGTATGCGTTCAATGGTGGCACTTGTAATTAAAGGGTCCCTTTCCTCAAATGGCATTCCCCCCCCTCCCAAATTGTGTAGTAGACAGGGTTGGTAATGTTCTTTCAGTATCCAAGACAGAGAAGCTCACGTGGATCTTTCCTCTTCCTATTTGTTGGGCAATTGCCAACAAAAAAGAAAAAGAAATTACTCATTGCCCCTTTCACGACAGCCCAAATCAGCTTAAATAGCTACCTCAAATGGGACAGGGTTAATAATTAGCTCCTCATTCTTTGATTCTCTCCATTCTTTGGATCAGTTTCAATTCCCACTTCTGTGTATTTGTACTGCAGTCTCAGGCAATTCTGTCTTTTAAATCTGCCAGCATCCAGCTTGAACAAAAATGCTTGCTCACAGAACAGCTTGTACACGCAGAACTTCAAACCACAAGCCTACAGAAATTCTGAATTTGGATGTCACATTGTTAAGTAAATGGCAAGGTCTTTATCTTCAGCAAACGGTTTTGACCTACAAGCCACAAAGTGAGGTATCAAAACACATAATGGCTCAATTGACCTGATAGCCACATTAGTCTGCATCTAAAAGACCAATAATTTATTAAGGCATAGTTTTGTGTCCTGCAGTCCATGAAAACATTAGATCATTTTGTGTGTGTGTGTGTGTGTTTTTTTTAAGGCACCACAAGGCTCTTGGTTGTTTCTATCTCACAAGGTTGTTTAAGTGCAATAGAATAAAGAAAATCATGGCCGTGCTTATGAGGGAGAGGTTATAACAGAACACATGTGCACTTATGAAAAAAACAGGCTTTGGGCCATGTTATATAAAAAACCCACTGATTGTATAATACAGAGAAGCAAAAACCTATTTAGAATAATAGGCACAACGCTGACAAAGCAGCTGACACCTTACTTTAGTGAATGGAACTGTTCCCTTTTTGTTTTGCAGTCTGCCCTAAACCTCAAAGTAATACTACTCCCATCATGCACAACAGCCTAAGAGATGAAAGAAAAAAGATAAATTTGGCTCAAAAGAAATACAGAGTGAGACAGTGGAGCTTTTATTATTGTATTTTATTTAAGTCACAAATATTTGAAGCAAAAGGCATGTTTTTTATTCAGGTGGCTTTTTAAATGAGGTGTAGAGGCAAAGAAAATAGTTCTCTGTGTTAGATTTACAAAAGAGTACAAGCCACTTCCCAGTGATGTCCAGAATGCTTACAATCAACTGAAGGTGTTTTAATAAGATTAATTGTTAATCCTTAGAAATGAGAACTCCTACAAATATCTCATGGTGGTACAAGTTATTTTAAAAAATCAAGACAAGTATTTTGAAGCAGCTTCTTGTTTATGACTTTCCTTATCCCCAGTGATGGTGGACAATAAGGTTTCACTTCAGTGGATAGGCAAGATATAAGGCAGAGGGGACTGCTAGTCCAACTCATATTCTGAAGCCTTCTCAGGACATGCATTTATTAAGGAATCATCTCCCATGGAAATGAATTTGTGGGGGGAGAAGATGGAACACAGGTGTCTGTCTACCTTAAGGGTGCACAATTCCCATGCTCTGGTGATAGCCCTTGTCTTTGCCTTAAGAAGTTCCATCCACTTTTGTGACAAGTCCAGGACATGCCTCATGATGTTGTAAGGGCAAGGAAAAGAAGCAATGCCCATCTCTGACAAAAGATGACAAGATGTTTTCAAGTAAGCTTCTCTTGCATTCAACATACATCCTTGCAGAAAAGGGTGGGAACTCACTACCTCTGGATTAAGAAGTCATTTAGGAATATATAGAATATAAATCTTGGCCTTAATTAGCAAGTTCTCCAGCCTGTTCACAACAGGATGGAAGATCATAACCAGAACTATGAAATGTCAGCCACTGTAGAAGGTTAAGTTCTACAGACAGCGATGGGGCCTTCTTCACATTTTTGGGAAGCAAAAACTAAAAAGAAGCATCATAGAATTAGAAGAGCCGTCCAGAAGGACGGATAACAGCTTGAAGCATAATTGTAATCCATGTATTCAACAGAGGCAGTGGGGATTTCACTTCCTGTAACCACCACCTCTTAAAGGACACAGTAGTCAAATTATGGCCAAACCTTTGTGCAATTCAGTCCTCTGATATGCAGGGGTAGATCATTCTTTAGGAAAGTAGAGGGCTCAGAGTTGATACAGTAGTGACTAGAAAACTATCTGGCTTATCCTGTTGCACTCCAACCATATCACTGCATATGTAGGATTAATATGATGGTACTCTTCAATCCTGAGATGGAAACACTTGGGTGGGTTTATGCGTTTACTATAGTCAGAAATAGTATGACTGTGCCAAGGGAGAAAAGAGAGACAGACAGAAGATGATGGATTAAGCAATTGGATTTTGCAAGTAAGTTCATGACTGAATTTGGCACATCTTATGGCTCAACTTACAATTGCAGTGTTAGCTTTGATCATCAGCAAGAGATCTGAAGAGGCTGTCCCAATCCTTCTCTTCAACATGTTCTGATTTGAACCATCAGCCATCTTATTTCTCCTCTTCCCAAATGATCATCTTCCTGTCCTGATGATGATCATGTCCATTCATTGACATTCTGAAGACACCACCACAGGCTCATTTTTCACCCTTATCCTGAAGGTCAGCTTATAAAATATGCTTTTTTCCAACTAGCAAGAAGAGGTCTCCACTTCTTTGGGCTATGATAGGTTCACAGAATATTCAAAAGGCAATGTCAAACCAAGTTTTAAGAATTAGATCTTGATGTGACTTCCATAATGCGTTTCCTCAGGTAGAACACAAATTCTGTC